CACAATATTTAATTTCCAATCCTTTTATAAAATCGAGACATACATGGAGTGACAATCACAAAACTTGGGACTCTTCAACTACAAGTCGACTACTGTCACACGAAACAACGCGTCACTCTATAACGCTACAATTTATAACGTTATTGAGATTACATTGTATTCTTTTCAGAGTTAATAGTGAAAATAAATCGCCCGTCTTAGCCTACGCGATTGCGCATAATAGCGGTACAGTTTGGTGCTTAGAGTGGTGCCCGTCAGGATGCTATCAGGATGTCGATCTTGGTAACTACAAAGCGGGCGGAAGTGATCTCAGGCGAATGGGATTACTTGCAGCTGCATGCTCCGATGGATGTATACATATTTATTCGCTACCGTTCGCGGACGAACTTAAATTCGAAAAAACGGAAGACAATTCGTGAGTCATACATTGACTGCGTTATTATTATTTATTATTTTTTTCCTTCGTTATTCATAAAGAAATTTTCATGCATTCTGCTTCAAGGTGGCCGATTTACAAGACCGATCCGGTAATAACATTGGTCAAGAATATTCTTATGTATGACAATAATGAACAAAACTGGCAGTGTACCAGGCTGTCGTGGACGAAGGAGCATGGACATAAGTAATATCCGTAATCTAAATTATTTTTCGTGTACAATCTTGGCCATAAGTATAAAGCATCCTCAATTTGTAGTTTCTTGGAAAAGGCTAATAAAAGCCGAAGGACTAATAAAATATTAAAATTATTGTAAAAATAAATATACTTTTCAATAAAACTGTTTTTCAATACGTTCACTGCCTATCACACGCCAACGCGTGATAAGACTTCTTCGCAAATAGTCGGTCACGCACCAGCGCGTGATGAATTTATTGTTTATTATAATAATTTTTGGCTTTGAGAGGTGGGGTGTCCATTCTTTCAGATGAACAGCGAATTTATTAATTAATGTTTCGTTAGATCTAGAACGTTCATATTAAATTTGTTAAATAAAATAAAATAGTTATAAGTATTAAAATCATTATGAAAATAAATATTTTTCAATAAAA